TTACTTTTCTAAGCAACACACATCAGTTTAATAATCCAGTGACCTACCTCCAGTTCCAAAAGAAAAGAAACAAATTAAAGGCAGATGAAAATACAACTTTTTGTTATCTTTCTTCCAGGCGCTAATCATCGATTAATTCATCACCATCGAACGTCTTGTCAATATCGCTATCAATTTCATTCATGAAAAAAAAGTAGCAAAACGCGGCATTTGCATTTCCTTACTACTGCAGGTCGTCCGTAGTAAAAAAAAAAGGAGAGAGAATTTTATGAATGGGGGTTGAGTACGACTCAGAGCAGCGAGTTTGATGCTTCAACCTGACGATCTGAAACAGACTGGTCTACGGAGTGGAGAACCCTGCTACTTCTCTCAAACGATCGCGCGTTTTTAGGGAGAAGGAAGGTGGGGGGTGTAGGCAGGGTAGGGAGAAGGAGGAAGGGTGGTGGATGGGGATGGGAGAATAGACTCTCTGGACGGTCGGTCGGAGCGGAGGGAGGAGAAAGTGAAGAGATTCTCGTCTGCCAGGAATGGGAAAGATTAGTTTTGATGTCGTTTGGTGAAGGATATTTTAAATTTTTTTGTGTGTGCGCGTGTTTATGTTTTGAATGACTTTTCCTTGGGAGTGTTGTAGAATTGATTATGGTTATTAATTAGATCTAATGGAACTTCTGATAGAAATATCTTGTTACATCTGTATCAGTAAGATGACCATTTTTTTACAATGAAAAGGAGGACGAAAAATTTAAGAAAGAATTACAACTTAAATATATGAAGCATTTTATTAATTCAAACAAAAATACGCTAATTACGCTTACATTCTTTTTAAATATTATTTTAAGTAAGTATTTTTCCATTGAATGATTTATTTATTTTTTTGTCTACAAATTATTTTCTAATATATCGGAAAGTTCGGGCAAAAAAATATCCTTCGTACTGAATTTTGCGGTAAGCACTGTAGCTAAAATATTAACATTCAATTCTGATTTCTTACTAGTCACTTCACAAAAATCATTACCAACTGAAAAAAACTCTTTCAACTGCTGCATTAGTTTCAGGGCAGCACAAAGTAAATTCAACAAGAATAATTACATTTTCATATGGAATGTGTTCATTTTTTAAATGGTTTAAGTAATTTCACCCATCTTTTTCCTATTTTCTCAGCATGTTGATATATATATTTTCCATTTGTTTTAATTTATATTAAAATTTAAATATACATTCAGTCTTCTTTCTACTTTAAACAGACAATTGTCATCGATTTTAATATCAGGCATTTCTTTCGATAAAAACTCAAACGTAATTTTCTATATCTGACCAATTTACTTGCGACAATTGAACACTGTTATTTCCTGTGATATTTGTTTCAGACCATTCTTCGACATTTTGGAAATATGTTTGGTTCATCTCTGAAAACAGAGTTTAACAGATCAGTTTTGAAAAATTGAAAAGGAGGACACTTTTCGAGGAAGGACAGAACCTATAAAAAAGGACTGTCCTCCTTAAAAGAGGACGGTGGGTCACCTTAGTATCAGGAACTATATAAAACTCGTTTTATATTTCCATTATTTTGAATTAATTGCGGTCATTATTATAACTTCAATCTGAGGTTAAAAAAGAGGTAACTTTACGAATTATGTATATTTTTAAAGTATAAGTTGTATATAAAAATATAAGAAAATTGAGTATTTAAAATAAAACCGTAGAATTTACTACCGTCCGTAGAATTTACTACTGACAATAATAAAACTGATAGTCTTTCAAAAATTCTTCAGTTTGCGTGCATGTAGATGCATTTTAACGCATTCAAATCACCAGAGCCCAGATATCATTTCGATCCGTTAATTCAAAACAGTCATTTGAGATGAAAAAAAATAACTATGAAATTTAATGCAAATTTCGTTTTAAAATGTGGTATTTGTCTTAAAATATTAAAATCTGTTTCACATGAGAGCTAAAATAATATAAGAATACATAATTTTATTCCTCTTTTAAAATGGCGTCATTGTTTCATTTTCACACTATACTCATGAATCGACATACCCGCATAAATAGAAGGATGCATAACAAACAATTATAATAAAGTTCACGATTTCTTCAAATGTATAATATCAGTTATGTATTTAAAAATATATCCGTACAGAAACTTATACATTTGTTAAATTGATACTGATTTTAAATCGATTTGCCGTGATACAAATTTTGATGATGATATGCTTATTTGTGCGTGCAAATACATAATTTATCACGTTTCTTTCTTTGTTTGAATATCCATTTGTTGTTTTTTTTTTCCTTTTTGTGAATGATATTGTCTGAAAGATTTATGTCATAAAAGTAAGTTTGTGTTATTAATATTAACTTCGATGCAAACATAACTGTAAATAATTACAAAAATACCGTATTTATTCGAATCTAAACCACCATCGATTCTAAGCCGCATACCAAATTCTCAACACGTTTTTGTGAAAAAAAATATAAAATAGTGTAAAATGGTTTATCGATATCCGATATTTGCGAAATGTAAAAAAATTTAAAATGAGAACTAATAAGAAGTGAATCATTAATTTATTTTACCAGTATTAGAAACTTTTAAATACATACATGAACCTGTCATTGCTGTAATTGTCAGAATCATATTCAGTTTTGTGCCATTCCAACGAATTTTTCCACTTTCGATTTCAGTAGCATTAACATTAGGAAAAAAAAAGTGTAGATTGGATTCGAATAAATACGGTACTTTAAGTACAACAAATTTGTCTCCTAAAATTTAGAAAAGAAAATTTAGCGTCAAATTAAGTAGTTTTATAAAATATTACCCCCAAAATTTTCCCGAAACCTAATCTATTATAATCAAAGAAATTCTATTTCGAAGCAAATTTAATGGAATTTTAAGTGAAAAGGAAAACTATTTTTTTCGACTTAAAAGTTATCATAGAAAAATGTTCATTCGTATATCCTTTGATATTTTAGACAAATCACGACAAAATGAAAATAAAATTAAAACATTTTTTTATAGTTAAAGAATATATTTAACATTCCCAACTTGAAAACCATAACAGAAGTAAATGGCTTGAATTAAACAGATAAAACAAAGAATTCAGATGTAAATACAAATTTCAACATACAAAGTTAGAAAGTTTTCTTGTCTAAATTATCATGCTCAAAATTAAATTCATATCAGCTACTATGTAATTGATGATGTTTTTATCACAGGAAGAAGTACTATTTTCACAAAAAACGTCGATCTTTCCACAATGAAACGCATCGTAGAACATCATCATATCCTTAATTAGAAGATGAGATTTTTTCCAATTCTTGTAATTTGTACAAACAAAATATAGGAAATGAACATAGTTTCGCTGAAAAAAATAGAATTGACAGAACGCTGTGGGGGACATATTTTCAAATTGAAGTAACAAAATAACAAGGAACCTCATGCTTTTTTAAGGCCAACTTTGCCAAATATTAAGCAATAGAATAAGAATTTGAATTATTATTAGAAAAATATTCCAATATTAATATTATATTCTGGTTATACAAACGTAAGGAGACCTAAATAAAAATATCTACCCCTATATTTAAGCAACTTTCCATCTAGAAAAATAGAGAAGATACCCTGTAATTTAGCGTATAACGCGCATTTTGAATACAAAAAACAAGATTGAAATTGACGGGTACGCGTTATACGCCGGTAATAAAAATGATAGCTTTAAAAATAAATAAAAGAGATGGGCATAAAAAAAATTAGGCACCTACATATATCGAAATACTGTTTATTTACAAGAAATGGCATATACCACATACAAATGAGCTTAAAGTGGAGTAGTTCTAGTATACTATTTTTTCAAAAGCTTGAGATAACACCTCGAATAAATTATTTCAAAACATAAGAATCTTGCGCACGTACATTTTAGTTTTCTTTGTAAGAAACCTAATGGAAATTAATGGTTAGGAATGTGTTCGTTATACGACGAACAGTCCTAAATTTTTTTTTAAAAAATGTGACTTGAAAGTATAGGTGCGCGTTATACGTCGGATTTTATGGTACGTATTTTGATACATTCATTTCTGTAAGGAATAATTTTTTAAAAAATGTACATGCTTATTTCTTCCAAATTGAATTGTCATGTTTATTTTTAACTTTATAAATCAAAACTAAATTTATCTCCCATCCGCTATAGTGGTTAGTGACGCTGACTACAGTGCCGTAGGGCCTAGGTTCGAATCCCGGAGAAGGCATGCACTTTTTTAAATGAATAGTGCTTCGCGGTACGGGGGTACTCTAAATAGGCGTCGAGCCGTAAGTAGTGCTGTCGTGAGTTTTGTAGAAGAGAGGTGGGAGGCCTCTGACCACCTTCAGGGTGGTCTTCCTTAAAATTAGGGTGGAACCGAGCAAAATCCGAGCATGGTGCTCAAAGTTAAGGGTAACGAAAGGCGTAAAAATCTAGCCCTTAGTTGCGATGAATTTCGTGGGCCTTGACCTGATGTTACTGACGATCAGGTGGCATAAGCAACAACAAAGATAAATTTTATTTCGATCTAACATTTCCAAGTCTTAAGCCGACCGTAATATGCAAGAGTATATATTGTAATATTTAAAAAAAATTTGAAACCTGTTTTTAACAATAGAAGATAATTCTTCAAACAATATCATCATTCTTAAGAACAACAGATTACGGGTTATGTTTGCATTTAAAATTTCGAAAAATACAAATTGAATTCAGTAATGTCTAGATTTACGCCACCATGACTTACTTGAACCCAGAGAGTTACGCGATTTTCAAATCTCGTCGAGTCGTCTGTTTTTGAAGTTATACTTCTTTTGGGGCGTAAGAGAAATAGGATGAGGGTGAACTTTTACAATGCGCGCGCACACCGTCACGGATGTGACGCAAAACCATCACAGATGCGAAAATCGTTTGTCTAGAAATAGACAGAACGGGACAAATCATTCCCGCCTTCGAAATTCTCAGAAAAATATTTCTCTCACTTCCCTGGAGAAGAGGACACACGGGTTTGAACCGGAGACCTCTCGATCTTGCCGCCGAATGCTCTTCCACTGAGCTATACACCCGCGTCAGCGAATCTTTGCTTTGTGTTCCGTAGGAACGTATACGAAAATTTGTTTTGTCTAGAAATATACAGAACGGGACAGATTATTGCCGCCTTCGAAATTCTGAAAAAAATTATTTCTCTTCCCTTAAAATGGGGGCACCCGGGTTTGAACCGGGGACCTCCAGATTTGCAGTCTAATGCTCTACCACTGGGCTATACACCCCGTGTCAGAGAGTCTGTGCTTTGCGTTCCCTAGGAACAGATACGAGAATGCTTTGTCTAGAAATATACAGAATGGGACAGATCATTCCCGGCTTCAAAATCCTCAAAAAAAAATATTTATCTCCACTTCCTTGAAGAAGGAAGCATCCGGTTTTAAATCGGGGACCTCTCGATCTGCAGTCGAATGCTATACCACTGAGCTATACCCCCCCGTCAGCGAACCTTTGCTTTGCGTTCCGTAGGAACGAATACGAAAATGCTTTGTCTAGAAATATGCAGAACGAGACAGATCATTCACACCTTCGACCCCCTCCCCATATTATTGGTCCTATTGTCAATGAGCGGGGGTGTTTAAACTTATTTAAATCGTGATTATCTCAGGTTTGACTGGTGCGATTGACTGAAGGTTAGTATCGTTCAACTCTGCTCGTGACCGCCTTTCGTCCTTGGCGCAGCTTGCCCTGCTAAAGACTTTTGAAAGATTTTAATCTTGTTACGCCAAAGAAGTATAACTTCTTACGTGCGTACATAAGTACACAAACACTTTTTTCTTTCTTTTTTTTCCATCACTGAAACTCGGGTTGAATTAGTGCCAGAGCCTGATGAAATTGGTAATGTGATTGAAGAAGTTGTCTATCTTGCCTGGTAAATAAATTTAGCAGTGGATAATGTGATGACGTTCAGGAATTGCTGGATTCCCACAATCAGGATTCGACAATTGATGAGCTTATAGAAATAAATGCATGAGCAAGAGCAAGACATTGAAGAACTTGAGTCTTTAGACTCGATTCAAGCAGAAGATCGAATGACGGTTAGGAATTTGAAAGAAAAGCATCAATTAATTTAAAAAGGGGTTACAAATTTTAGAAAATATACACTCACACGAAGAGTGTATTTTTTCAACAAAACAAGAATGAAAAAATTATTAGCATGCTATGAGACAATCTTGCGGAAGAAAAAAAAAATCTTTGAGCCGGCAGACTACACACACACACACTCTGTAAGATTTTCTGAAACCTTCTACATCAAAATAACTTCGGTTTGCGATTTTGTATTAGTGTTATCTGTTGGGGTTTTTTTTAACTTTTTTTTCTTCTTAATTATTATTTTCTTTCGTCTCCGGCCCCAACTAAAAATAATTTACATGCATCTGTATGAGAAGTTACACCCCAACTTACGCGATTATTACTCAGTTCCACCTATCGACTAAGTTCGGGGATTATTACTGTACATTTAACCAATTTCTCCAAAAGTGTACTGCAACGTGTTGTATGCAATATGCAATTATTTATGTGTATAAACAAATATATTTAGACATAAAATAAATAACATTTGAAATATATTCCTGAAGGATGTAAAAAAATGTGAACGTTATGGTATCCGACTACGTTCGGAACCGTAATTTTTCAAAAGCATATATATGGATAATATTTATGATATTTAGTGTCAATTAGATTAGAAAATGTATATAAAATTGCTTAAAGAATATTATGAATAATACAAAATTATTTAAGTACAATATTTTGACATAAAATGAACATAGAATGACCCATTTTCAAAATATTCTCCTTTTGTGAAAAATGCTTCTATTATACAATAATATTTTGCCTGTATATAGCTCAGACCTCTGTACAGAGGCTCAACTAGAATTTTTGAAATATATAACTTAGAAGTGGGTTTATCCATATTTTACGACAACAGAGGGGAGCAATTTTAAGAAAAAAACGCCAATAATTATTTCAATGGGTGGTAACTCTGAAAATAATGTGAATTTTTCAAAAATCGTAGTTGAGCCTCTGAACAGAGGTCTGAGCTATATACAGGTAAAATATTAATACAATAGAAGCATTTTTTACAAAAAGAAAACATTTGGAAAAAAAGTTATTGTAAGTTAATTTTTTTGCCAAAATATTGTATTTAAATAATTTTTTTTGTCAAAATGTCCTTAAAACAATATTATACGTGTATTCTAATCTAAGTGACAATAAATATCATGAAAATTAACTGTTTATGCGCTTTTTTAAAATCACGTTTCCGAACGTAGTCGGATACCGTAAGTAATAAAAATAATGAATGGTTTCTTACGATATTATCTCTTTTTATTATCTTACCACCGTAACACACACATGACTGTGCTCTGATATTAAAAGAATTCCCAATTTATTTGAACGTTAGGTTTGTTAGATTGTTATTTATTTATTAAAAATAATTGATTTGGGGTACCGTAAAATTCGGCGCATAACGCGCACTTTAATACAAAAAATAAGATCGAAATTTGAGGGTGCGCGTTATATGCCGGATATAAAAACGATACATTTAAAAATAACAAAAGGGATGGACATAAAAAAATTTACTTCTGCATGTGTCGAAATTCTGTTTTCTTTAAAGAAATGACTTGCCTTATAAACTAAAAGAGTTGCAGTTCTAAAAGAAAACCATTTTGTCAAAAGTCTGGGATAATACCTCGAATAAATGACTTCAAAACACAAGAGCAATGTATACTAATATTTCATATTTCTTCGTAAAAAGGAGGGTGCGCGTTATACGGCGAATATACCTAAAATTAAAAAAATTAAGTTTGAAAGCATAGGTGCGCGTTATACACCGGTGCGCACTATACGCCGGATTTTACGGTACTTTTCCGTTTCACCGGGGCAGGCGATAAAGTCGCCAAAAATGATACAACCGACGCCAAAAACGGAGTATTCCCGCTGGTAACCTTATGTCAGCGTGAGTGAGTGAGTGAATATTAACGTCGCACTTTACGGCTATAGTCGAGGGAATTTGGCGATAGAACTCGTAATTTTGAACCATGGTCAAGTGACTACAACGACACCTGAGCTGGTAACCCCCCCTTTCCAAACTTCCGCACCACACCAACGGGAGGACGTTTGAGCTTGGCATATTTAAGGTGTATCGATATTATCTGCACGGCGGATCTTCTGCGGTGCAAAGGCTCGAACTCATGACACGCTAGCCACGAGTCTATTACCTTGTCCACTATGCTTCCGCGGCCACAAAAAATCCTTATACCAGCACATTTTCAAAACAATTCGTAGTCTTTTTGCATCAGTAACGTTTTTTTTTTTTTCATAATACAACAAAAATGGATAAAAAATCAATGAGAATTAATACTTATTAATGTTTTTATGTTTATGATGTGTGTTCTCGCCAACTAAGACAACCGTTTGCGCCGGCAAAACAGAAAAGTACCCATTTTTTTAAATAAAATTTGCTATCAGTAAATTCCAGGAAAAACATGTGGCCGCGGTAGTCACATGGTCATGATTGCGAACACATCGCTGGTATTTACGAGTCCTATTGCAACTGAAGACTTGCCTTGTAGAGGAGCTGATGTGCGTAAAATCTGCCAAACTTTATCTCATTTGGCCCACACACACACACACATCCCATCAGTTTAAACAATAACAACCGTTAAAAATAGCTAAATCAATTTTATCTCAATCTTATTTCACGTAAAGTGGACGTAGTATCTTGGAGGTCCTAGTCACAAACTCGTGACCGAAAAGTCGTGAGTTACAGTCCTAGTGCCACAGACTGGGCATGTAGAGGGGTAAAAAAAATTACGTTAAATCTATCGAGGCTCAAATGTCTCCCAATGGCGTAGTGTGGAAGTTCTGAGAATGCAGTGCCAACTCAGTTATCATTGTTTGACCGAACCGTAGTTCAAAATTACGAGGTCCGTCTTCAATAGCCCCCTTGTGTTCCTTTAGAATGCGACGTAAATAGAATTCAGGAAAAACATATTCCAGATTAATTTTTTTAAATTTCCAGTAAGGCTGCGGATTGCTATTTAACACTGCAGACCTAGTGCATTCCCCGGGAGTTGGTATCACTTTTAAGTGCGGCACCATATAGGGAACACCAATAGCCGCAATGTAATTTTGACGCCCCCAGAGATATGCACCTGAACTCTGACGGTGTGTAATGGTACAAAGAGCACTCAAGTCAAACAAGCACTCTAGGGATCTTTATCATACTGCATCCTCTCACGACATCAATGCTATCGATTTTCTGCCTCATGAAAATCCATCGACTTAGGCCGGGATGGAACCTGCAACCTTAGGCGTACAGGACCATTGACAAACCCACTACGCCACCCAGCCGGCAGATTAAGACTGCAAATAATGCGAAAACAATTTTAAAAAAAGTGAGAAATATAAATTTGTAAAATTACACATAACTGGAGTAAAAAAAATTCTGTACGATCTCAGACATCCAAGCATCTTTGTTAAAACCGGACACTTAAATTTGTAAATTTTTGATACATAATTCTCTACATGTAAAATTGTTATGTTTCCGAAAGAATGGAGGAAAAAAAACCGTTGTGTTTTAAAAATTGCTTTTACACGTGTAGAAAATGGAAATAACAAAACGGGAAAATGTACAGACAAATGGCGCCATATCTACTATTTAAGTCATCGATGTTATAAATTTGAGAATACTTCGGAAGTAAATTCTGATCTCAGCAATAAATTACTTTTGTTTCGTTTTATATAACTAAGTATAACTTCCACATCAACTAAGTTTAGTTTGTAATTCTACTAATCCCCCTTTTTATTATATAAGCAATTCACATATTTGATTTCAAGCGGAAGTAATACATAAAGAAAGGGCAGGGCAATGGTTTAGAAGAGTGATAACCCATTTAACTGTGATGAAATTTAGAAAGGCTCATAAATATACGATTCAATTCAAAGGCTCTGAAAGTGATACTAATAAAGTATATTTATAACATAGTGTAAACGTTGTAAAGGAATAAAAAAGTATATTTTG